TTTCAAAAACTTGTCAGTCTTTAATTTCAAGAAAAAGGTTAGAAGTCTTTTGCTGGAAGGTACTTTAACAATAGACTTCTGATTATATTGATGAACTTATGTGAAATTCATTGCACTTTGTGACATAATTATTATTTTTATTTCATTTGTACAATGTTTATGAGTAGGAATATTCTTTTTTTTTGTGGAGGGACCAGTTCTTGTCACAGGTCCCTTCACGTGGTTGCGTGGAAGAGCGCCATTCTATCGTTCTCATAAGGTAGAAGAGCGAACGATGCCATTTGCTACTCATTATTATTTAACCTTGTTCTCTGTAACTGCTGATTGTGTAGCAATAAAAACATTTATTATTATTATTATTCATAGAGAGGGTCGCATATAACATCTGGACATTTCATTCTTCTGACGTATGTCAGAAGAATTAGGGCTGGTCACAATTTGAGGCGAAAGTTTTGAAGTGTATTTCAGGTTTTGAAAACGAAAAAAGATTGCTTTCCGAAACGTCAGCCATTAATGAAAGCTAACTATCAATATTTTTTTTTTCATATGATTCTCCAGCATATTCTCTATTGATTGTGGAAAGTCATTCACAAAAAAAAAACAGTAAGAAGTATTGAGTCTCTTGAAACTTACCAATTTGGTCCAAAAAAGTAGTGGAGATATTATGACGATATATTAACTATTTGGAAAAAAATTCGTAACGATCTTTTCTGAATCATCCTAATGCAAATGAACCTATAGTCCACAATAGGTATTTATCAAGATAGTCAAATTTATATCCTTGAAGTATTATTGAAAATGTTATCAGACTATTCTGACACACTTCATTTATACGTCTATTTTGGGTTAGTTTGGTCATATTCGGATGATTTTTAAGATCAGATTCTTTTATCTCTGAGTCATTGTACTTCATCTTTACTTTTATATTTATCTCGGAACAAGTGTTAAGTCACTATCGAGTACCGTCGTTTTTTATTTTCATAAATGTAATAGTTTTTGTATCTTATAGTATTTGATAATTGGAAATAGACGCTAAATATACGGGGTCTTTTAAAAAAATAAGGTGAATGTTCAAATATCGTGAGCTACGTAAATTCGATTAGCGATATTTTCATTTTTTGTGTTGGTACACCCGTTTCGAGCATATGTTTACAGTTTCGACTGTTTAGCATGTTTGGGTATTAAGCGTGTAGCAGCGAAATTCGTTCCAATATTGCGGAATTTTGACAAAAAAATTCGTCGCATAAACATCGCTCAGGAATTTTTGAATGAGGTCAAAGGCGATCCAAATCTGCCTAAAAGGTTCATAACTGAAGACGAATCATGAGTATATGAAAAAAAGCGATTTATTTCAAATTTTCAGTTACAGAAAATACTATTACTCCAGAGTATATATGAAAGGAATATTAAAAATAATCGAATATAGAAATGTATAAAAGTAAATGCCAAAACAAAGTACCTATATATAAAATATTCGTATACGTAGAATTTCAAAAGAGGAATGAACAATTGAGTATATAACACAAAAAGTAACAAATCATGCAATGTAATAGCACTGACACAAATGTTATTTATAGTATTATTAAAAGTGATTGTGGATACATGATACCAAGGCGTTCAAAGAGTCGAAATGAATATCGCAATGTTCTCAGATTTTATTGAAGCTACTGCACATGAAATTCAATGGTGATCGTAACATTTGTGCGTGATGCTTCGCAATAGAATTTCAGATTGTGTCGACCTTCACTTCTTGGTACTAAAAAATTGATCTCGGGTAAAAGAACCGTACTGTCAATATTGTTGTTTAGTAATTTATGCAGGAATTTTATACCAAGGATAACTCTCCTATTTTCCAAAGATGTCATTTCAAATCGTGTCAACAAAATGTTAAGATCGGTGCCTCTCGTGGGGTAGGGTCCTTCAATTTTTAGACATAAGTATTTTAGGAACTTCCTTTGCACGCTCTTAATTGATGTTTTTTGGTAGGTAGTTGTAAACTGGATTCCACAACACAGAGCCATACTATAACTTAGATCTCCCATAAGCAAAATATAGCAATTTTAAGGTGGCAATACTTTTGAAGTGAATTAATCCAAGCATCCTATTTGCATCAGCAGTCATATTCCTTATATGTGTTAGAAATGCTAATTTACTGTCGTATGTTATACCAATATCTTTTATCTCATTTACGCGGTTGATTGTAGTATTGTTGATTGAATAATCGTACATTAAAAATCGCTTTATTGTTGTAAATGAAATTATTTTATATTGGGATACGTTCAGTTGTAGACGATTATTATTACATCAAATTTTGATTACATCTAATTCATGTTCTACATGTTGGCAGTCAGTAATGTCGTCGATTTCATAATATAGTTTCAGGTCGTGTGCAAATAGTAGGCTATGGTTATAACATTAAAACCAAAGTTTGATCGTCCCAATAGAAAAGGCCAGGAGAGTTAAGACCAAAAAAGTACACCAAGTTCCATCAAATTTCAAGGTTTTGCCCACTGTTGTCTCCAATTTACGTGGCACAGTGCATTTGGAGTTCTTGTCACATAGTCGTATGGTTAAAAAGGAGTCTCATCTCAATGTTATGTGTCGCTTGCATGAAGCAGTACGAAGAAAACGGTATTGTGGAAAAACAATGCATAGCTTTTGCATCACGGTAATGCATCTGCTCACTCATCATTGCAGAAACAAGAGAGTAATTATGCCTCAGCCACCGTATTCACGAGATTTGCCCCCCTCTGAATGTTTTCTGCTCTCAAGATTGAAGTGACGTATGAAAGAACGGCGTTTTGCAACGATTGAGGAGATAAATACCGAATCGCTGAGAGAGCTTAAGGACATACCAAAAAATGCATATCAGAACTGCATCGAGAATTGGAAATATCGCTGGCACAAGTGAATCATATATGAGGGGGACCACTCTGACGGGGATAAAAGAAATTGATGAACTCTACCTTATTTTTTGAACATACCTCGTACATGTGAAAACAGTGTAACACCCTGAAAAATATTTTCATACATATCCATACTATTTTTATACATATTTACGTATTAATTTCATGTATTGGGTTTGGTATGTACTTTGAATATTGTCATTTTTGTGTGTCATTATATAATAAAAGTTAACTAGTTTAGTGATCCAATATTTTTTCTGGAAAAAGATTGGTTGGGTAATAGGATCAATGTTTTCAAAAACTCAATTATTTTCTTGCCGACGTTTCGAATTCAATTAAATTCTTCTTCAGGGCTCGAAAAGTAGTTCCTTAGTGTTGATAATATTACTATTTTAAAAACCATCAGACATACTAGATACATTTAAATAAAAATGAAAAACATTGCAACAGACAGACAGTTTGTTTGTTGCATTGTTTCTGTATCTGTAGAGTAGGAAGGGTAAGTGTAGACTCACAGCACTTAGGCCACATTTGACCCATTGTACATCCTCCGAGGAGTTGTCCTCCTAGGTCATCGTCCATCCTGTCCTTTGGACAGGTCACTGGGAGACATCTCCTTTATATTGGCAGATATAGGCTAAAACTCGCCGAATACACACTCTCTTTGGTAACCTTGAAATGTCTCACGGTGGCCACCGCGAAAGTTTTGGAAGGTGCAGTGACGTTACTGTCGTTGCGCGGCTTCCTCCACCTTCTTGGGGTTCCTTCCATGGAGGTGCACAAGTGAGGGAGCTTTCCTGCAGGGGCAGCCGTCGGAGCTCTTGTCGCCCGCCGCAGAAAGTGCCCTTGCTGTTAGAGGTGGAGTGGGGGAGGAGAAGGATGCACTTATAGTTGCTGCTACTTCTACCTCCGTCGCTCTATTTCTCATTTTGGTATTGGCGCCGCAAATGCGCTTATGCCTTGGCCTTTGTATTACATCACGAGGTGTTCTGCTATGTCCAGCCTCATTCCAAGCGGTAGATTGGGGTGGACATTTCTGTTCATCCCCAGCCACCGTTTTAGATTAAGGTGAGCACTTCTGTCCAGCCTCGGGATAGGTTTTTGTTGTTTCTGTTTTTGTGTTTGTTTCATTCATGTGTGTTCCCACGAGTATCAAGGGAAGAGATGGTCACCTCTGGCAGAGCCCCACATTGCCAGAGGTAGGCTGATTACAATGAGGTTTCGCCCAGTTCCCCAAAGGGATCGTTCGTAACCGCATATCACCCTGCGGTCATTCAGCTGTCGGCACGATTCCTTACACCTTAGTTTGGGTAGGCTGGTCTACGGTGGCATGTTTTGCAAAGGCTTTTGGGGAGTTTTAGTTCCCCTCACCCTACTTATTTCTGCCAATAACCAGAAGTCCGGCGATCCCGTCCTTAATGCCATATCTGCTTCCCTGGCCGTTCTCCTATCCGCCACCTGGGTACTCGCCCGATAGGTAGCCCAACCCACGGGTGTTGCAATGTTTTTTAGTTTTATAAATATGTATCTAATGTGTCTGATAGGTTTTAAAATAGTAGTATTAGCAACACGAAAAAACTACTTTTTGAGCCTTGAAGAACATTTTAATTAAATTGGAAACGTCGGCAAGAAAACAATGTTTTTTTTTTTTTTAAAAATTGATCATGTTATCCAACTAACCTTTCTTCTGTATTATGGGAAAAATACTCTTGACAGGATAAACAGAACAAAAGAAATGTAAACAAAACATGTCCATCTTTTCAAACCATTTTCGCTGCATCAAACTCCTTCAAAACCGAATTGGATTCAAAACAGGAAACAAATATAACTGCCAACAAATCATCGCAAGTATACACATAAACAAGTTATTCCGAACGAGCTCAAATCGACTAGATGAAGATGAAAACAAAAATAAATAGTACGAATCCACAAACAAAGTTACATCATGATGATACGGTAGTTAGGATTCGAGCGATCATTTTAGTCCCACCCCTCACGAATCAAAGTATCTCGCGAGAGAAAGAAAAAAAACGCCTCCGATTCAAAACAGAAAAGGACGCGGTACACTCGTAGCTCGCGAGAACACATGAGTGGTGTCAGAAGTAATTTACTGAAGACCGCCAGTACGCTCTATGAATTGGTGGAGGCAACAACACACATTGATCAATTTCCTGTGTAGGTGGTGATTGTGTTATTTATACATACGATTTAATTATGGAAGACGAGGCCAGTCAGCACAGTCTGAAGAACGAGAAGAACTCTGTTTCGGTCACCCCGTTTTCCATCAATGATATTCTGAGTAGAAGAATAGAGAGTAAGGATGACGACAGTGATGTGCAAGAATCTGCGTTGGATATGTCGAAGAGTCAAAAAGAATGTGAGAGTGAGTAATACTATCTTATTTGTATATACTTTTGCGTTTAAAAAATCACAGAAATTGACTATGTAGATAATTATTGAATTATAATTTTCAATGATGAAAGATATTGCTGATAAGAATTTCGGATAGAAATCACCTGTGAATTTATCGTTGACAGAATTATTTCAGAAAAATGTTCTTGATACATCGATTAGTATATTGTTTCATTGGATACAAGAGTAAAAATGTCTAATTAGTTGATAAATTTAACAGAAATATTTGTGAATATTCCACTTTTTCATTTATCACTCATGTCTACAAACCGAAACCGAGAATTAGAAGTTTTAATGATCATTGTATCTGAAAATAGAAGTTGTACACATGAATAAGCTCGAAATTTATTCTGACAATCTCGCTCTGATAGTCAGTGTAAAACAGAGGTAGGTAAAAAAATGCTCGGTTGCAAACCTATCTCTGACGAAATCATTCAATCTTCGGAAAAAGTTTTTGACTCTCTACTTCTCCATAGATATACAAAAAATGAAGGAAATTTTGAAAGAAAGGAAGAAAGCAATTCAAAATATACTCTTTATTAATGATTTGCTTGAAGTACTAATATCATCAGAATGCCGTATATTCGCAGATGACTTCAAAATATCAAAAAAGATAGAAACAGTTAGAGATTGTATTATCTTACAGAAGGACATTGATATGGTATTTGAATGGAGTTATAAGAATGAATTGTATTTCAATCTAAGTAAATGTTCTGTTTTAACTATAACGCGTATCAAGTAAACATGTATATTCAATTATTTATTGAGGCGTCAAAGCTTGAAACGCCGCACTGAAATCGTATACTTTCGATAATATCAATTCGCTCAAATTTCTGCACTATAGCTTGGTTAGGAGCAAGTTAGAGTTTGGCTCTTTGATTTGGTTCACGGAATTCCAAAGCAATTTGAATAGATTAGAAAAAATTCAAAATACATTTTTAAGACTACTATATTTTAAGAAACTTCACGTATATCCTAATTACAAGACAACAGGATCCACAACTCTTAGGAGAACTCTTAGGAATGAATTTAACGTACCACCTAGAAGATTGCGCCTGGTTCCGATGTTTAATATTCCTCCATCATTTAACATTTAGAGATCATCTACGGTAAACATGTTCCGACTTACAAATCAACTCAATATACTGATGAATCTAGAATTGATAGTTTCTATCATAGTCTTCCGCAAAACAATTTTGACGAATATCATCGATGATAGTACGTAATAAAATTCATTTGCTCATTCGATACAATCCCAGCCATAGGAATCTTGTTCAAATTGAAGGGGGAAGAATAATTTTTGGAAAAAAAGGGTTTTGGTTTTCTACTTTTCCATCTTCATACAAAAATGTTGGAATCTTCCAAATGAAGGAAGAACTTAATCAATTGTATGACTTTCAGACACATAATGTTGTAATGTTATGAATCGAGTGCTTCATCTTGTATTGATATCTAAATTGGTACTGAAATGGCAATAAGAGAAGTGTCTTGTTCCGAAATATGGAAGTCCGCCATTGAGGATGTCAATGTTTCATGTAAATGAAATTCAACTCCTTTCATGTAGTATATTGTGCAGCAATCCTGTCAATTATAACTGATTCAGTTCCATAACAAAACTTTATACTACAAACTAAATACAAAAAATGGTTTTTGTACAATTCAACGTTCATATAGTATTTCAATTTTCCCTTTGCCAAAACCTCCATGAATTTTCAATACAAAATTCTGATGGATCACTTTCATTATCAAGCTCAACATCGTCTTTATCCACGTTGAATGGAACTGGCAAATACTTGATGAAAATCCATATCGAAACTTACTTATATAATCCATTTCAAATTTAGGTATGAGATTTACAAAACCCCGACATGTGTTTCCCTATAACATAGCATTCTAAAGCAAAACTTGCTGCCTCAAAGCCTCAAAAATTCATCAAGAAACGTTATCAACTACATTTGTATAAATGATCAGCAAGTGGAATCTTATTCATTGTTTTTAAATTTTTGTGATATTGTCGAGACACATGTATTACCTTACACTTCACTGAATCCGTTGTATGCAATGGAAACTGTCAAATTATTGGAACTTCTCATCCAAATGTTACTATTCTTTGAAGGATAGAAACGTAGACTCGGAAGGAGCAGCACCTTGTCTTTGACTCATAAAGTGGGCCGTTCTACACACATAATACATGGAGTATACAGTGCATTTTGAGGTAGGTGAAGATATTGACTTCATATTCTAGGGTTGTGAAGTATTCGTCAGAAGCTTCAAAATGATGTGTCACATGACCCCCCCCTTTTCATTTAATTTTTTTTCCCAAATGGCGCCCAGTCGCCATCTTGAAAGTTTGATCTGTCAATTTCACTTCAAATAAAGTATTCATGCATCAATTTCATTACCAAAAATTTCAATTTTTTGAAATGACCCGTTCAATAAATTAAAGGGGGGGACATTAAAGAAAAGAAATGCACTGTATAAAGGCATAAGTAGTTCGGATGGTTTGTTTTCTTCATAGTCCGTTAGCATCAGAAAGCATAACCTGGGTTTCTTATGCTCTTTGCTAAACCCACTAGTGAAGTTGGCATGATGGTGGTTTTCTGACACAAGTTCGCTCTTCAACCTCAGCCTATACGAGTTCTGAGTGCTAAGAAGGATATTGAATTTGTTGTGGGGAATGGAAGTGGCATGAAACAATGATTCAACTATCAATTCTAATCTATCTATACTATTATAAATGTGAAAGTTTGTGAGGATGGATGTATGTATATATGTTTGTGGCTCTTTCACGCCTAAACGACTGAACGGATTCAGATGAAGCTTTATATAAATACAGCTTATACATCACAATAACATATAGCTTAAAAATTCAAACATTCTAATAAATGACCAACTGGATTTGAATAGGTCACCATTATTGAACTTGTTTTCTTAGAAAAACCGAGAAAGAATCATTATTGATGTAGAAGTGAGGTAATATGCTTCAGGTGATCATAATTGAAGAGGTACCACAGGTACAGATTTAGGTAATTTGTTGGAAGTGTCTCAATTATGGTATGCCTGTAGTATATAAATATTAGTGTCAGAAGCAACTTGAAGTATTCAAATCACTGTTGATAAAGCTACTGTGTTAGCGAAACATGTGATATACTTTTCAAACGAAGTTTGTGGAGATCAAATCGTGAGTAATGGCCAAATCAATCAGAAAAAAAATATAAATAAATTGGATACAATTTTTACAATGCACATTTTAGAATATCTGTCAAATTCTTAGAAACACTGATACAATTGTCATTTTAAGTCATTTAATATATATAAACTTTGTCTTTTACATTAAATAATTTGGACGAATCGTTTAAAAGTTATCACGATGAAATTAAATTGACGCAACACAGTAATTTATATGTGTCGCCTCTACTGTAAGACGACGGGGGACGTTGCGTGAGGTTAGAGGGGCGGTCTAAGCAATGAAGCACCATCACCAAGAACGCGGGCAGACGTTTATAGGTAACATAATTCGATTCTCGAAGCCATTCATCACTCAGTGCAGTTGGCATATTTAATTTTTAAAGTGAACTAGCTGTTGCCAGTTCTCATATTAACGTACAGCCGAAGCTTTGCGAAAAAATCCCATTGAATTTAGTTACAGAACTGGAGATACTTTCTTTAACAGAAAAAATTAAGTAAAAGATCTTGGGATCATATATGATCACACTTTGTCATTCTCAAAACATCTTGATGAAATTTTTAAAAGGCCTAACGTCATTATAAGATCTAGCTAATCGTTTGTAAACGTATTCACGATAAACCCTCTTTATATCACACTTGTAAGACCAATATTAGAATTTGGTTCGCTCATTTGGAAATTCCAACCACAGATGCATTTTAACAGAATCCAAAAAATACAAAATAGGTTGGCCGGATTACATAAAAGTCAGATAAATGGATTTGAGGCAGCATTTCAAAACATCTTCTCTTTATATTAGACGGGACGTAACACAAATAATGTTTTTATACAAGGTGATAAACAACAATATTACAGATATAAACATACTCGAATTCATAGATTTCAATTTCGCTCAGTATCCAACAAGAAGTCGAGTACTTTTTAAATTACCCAAGGCAAGTGAAAAAATAACTGCTCCGAGTCCTCTCTCAACCATGCTTTGTAAAGCAATTGAAAGTAGTGTTATAAAAAATTTAGATTTCAGTTATTCCTTCTCACGTTTCAGATATGATGTTATTAATTATTTATTAGAAATATAACTGTGGTCGTAGAGAATAAGATGGACATAAATCTTTCAGTGTATATGTATAGAAGTAAGCTCACACAATCAAATCGTAATAAAGATTTCCATGTAATTTGGCTCTTGAGTCTGTGAATAAAAATAAAAAATAAAATGAAATAAATAAGCATCAAGGAAAGGGATCAGTAATTTCCACCCCCAAGGGGGAAGAATAGGGTTTCAAAGATTGTATTGAATTTCGTCAGTTTTGAAGTTGGAAACCTGAAGTTTTGGGTTATTGAAAAAATATTGTAAATGTTTGATTAAAATGGTCTGTCACGAAACTTAATGTGGCAAACCAAATTCTTCGCGGGTGAAGCCGCAGGCAACAACTAGTAATTCATATATTTTTGTTACATTACGTTCAAACACCGAATATAACCAATTGCATTTTCTTCGAGAAACTTAGTTTGTGCCACTCTTTAATTTTCCTTCATATTTGATGGGTTCAGATCTTCCATATGTACATAAGTTACGTAAATGATGTGAATGTCTTGCATCTAGTACCAGCACGCTTCTTATACTCTCAAATGACAAAATGTTACTGTTTCAAGGAAGTATCCACTTTCATTATCAGGCACTTGAAAGAAGTAGGTTTAAGTATTTCAAACCAATTACTGATTACTGGATGAGATAGATCGGCCCTGTCCTGAAATTTTGTAAAATGTACTCTGCTAATACATCG